GAGACTGGCCCATGGCTGTGCAATCTCCTTCACGGGCAGGCGGCGCCGGCGGTGAAGAACGTGGACTTGGCGGAGATCAACGTCCAGTCGAGTGAGGAGCTGGTGTTCGAGCGTGTTGATGATAGATGCCCTGGCGAAGTTGCCGCAGACCGTCTCGGGGAGGCGATGGAGGAGGGCTTCAGTCTCAAGATTCAGAAGCAGGATGAAAGGGCCCCAGGACACGCACATAAATACACAAATAAAACGATTACCAATAGTTTCCCAGTTTTTTTGGTTTTCGTCGTACCCCCCACTTCCCATATTTTCTTATATTCTCTAGAGAATCGAAGATCAATTGTGTCTGTGTGTTTTTTCCCCTCCTGACAGGAGACGGCGGAGGCCTGCGCGGGCCGTGCTCGGCTGGCGTGCGCCCGGCTGGCCCAGGAGGGCGTGGGCCTACCGCCGGTGGCGTGGGGCTACCTGATGCTGCGAGGCGCTCGACTGGAGGCTACCTGATGCTGCGAGGCTACCTGATGCGCGAGGCTACCTGATGCTGCGAGGCTACCTGATGCTGCAAGGCGCTCGACCGGAAGTTTTGGCAGAGTCGAGATCATGTCCGCGACGCGCAGGAGGTGGCACGCGGATGAGGTCTGTGCAGCGCTGAGGGCGGCGTTCCCAGGAGTGCCACCGGAGAGACTCGCGCAGGCCACGCATGCGGTGGAAGGAGCACGGCGAGACCGATTTCCCGCCGATGCCGAAGCCCTACCAGGACGAGGGTGCGGAGGACGATGTCACCCATGAGATTGACGATCGTCCAGGCGGCGGAACCGATCGACGAGTCCGATGCTGCGGAGATCCTGGCGACGTGGAAGCAGACGAGAGTGGCCATGAACAAGGGGAAGCTGGATCGAGGTCTGCGACCAGGATGGAAGCCCAGGCACCCAGGAGCAGGTGGCCCGACACGCCAGGATCTGGACAAGCTCGGACGCCGAGTGGAGTGTTTCAGGTGCAAGAAGATCGGTCACTTCAGTAGGGGTTGCATGGGGCCGCTGCAGGCGCACAGCTCGCAGATGCAATTCGCGGAGTGTGTGTGTGTGTGGTCCGACGGCGAGGAGGTTAAGGGTCCAGGCAGTCCAAGACGTTCAGATGAGGATGGCGGCCGAGCAGGACATCGATGAGGACATCAACAGCATCCTGAAGGTCCACGAGGACAACGTCCTGGCGAAGCTCATCCAGGAGGAGCGGTAAAAGAGGTTAGAGCACGAGATGAAGGAGGATCCAGAGGGCGAGGATGGGACCACGGAGAAGAAGACGACGACGGAAGGCACGGTCCTCGGGGTTACTCACTCGGACGGGTGCTGCGCGCCGGACACGGTCTGCTGCGAGTTCCTGATACGCGAGGAGGCGCTGATGAAGCGTGAGGCGGCGACGGGCCAGAAAACTAGATGGCTGAAGGATGCGACACAGATGCGCTTCCGAGGCTTCGACAACAGCGTGCGGGAGTCCATCGGCGCAGTTGAGCTCGACTGGACGGTCAAGGTGTACACGGTGACGTTCGTGGTGCATGTGGCCCCAGGGTCGGCGGGCTCCTTGACGAGCAAACCCGACCTGAAGGCGTTGGGTGCGACGATCGACCTGGAGACGGACGCGATGTATTTGAGGAGGCTCGACATGGCGATCCCTCTGAACAACGAACGGCGGGCCCGTGCGAGATCGATTCCATGAATAAAGGGAATATGTCCCACCAGCATGTGCACACCTCGGCGGCTCGCGTGCAGAAGGGGCATCGTGGGGCCGAGCAAACATCGGTTTTTCAGTCGGGCAAAGTCGTTGCCCGCTGGCCAGGAGGATGGTGGCGGAACTGTTCTCCCCACCGCGGATCGTACCAGTCGCGGTCAAGGCAGGATTTCATGGGGGGCAAGCGACTCGACAATACGAGTGTATGTGACGTCAACCAGGCCGACGACTACAACGCGGTGTGGAAGCACATTGTCGAGGACGAACCCTGCAGGGTGCACGTGTGTAACCCGTGTCGCAAGCTTTCGGTATTACAGCAGTGCGCACCTATGGAACGACGCGTGGACATGGCACAGCACTTGTCGGATGTGAGGTGGACGGTGAACCTAGTGCACGCAGTCGTGGAGGTGGCGATCTTCCAGCTGGAGCGAGGCAGACATTTCCTGTGTGAGACCCCGCCAATGTGTGCCAGCCTGCAGGTGCCGGTGATGGAGCAGCTGCTGCAGCCACCACGGGTGCATGTGGGCGTTGCGAGTGGCTGTGCGTTCGGCTTGCGCTGCCCAGACGCGTCAAGCTGATGCCGAAGAGCTGGGAGTTCGTGACGTGGGCGCCAGAAGCGGCGCGGGCGGTGCACAGGAGGTGCAGTGGAGGACACGAACACCTACGCACCGAGGGCATGCTGAAGTGTGGGATCAAGCGCTCGGTGCACAGCCAGCGTTACCCTAGGAGGCTGGAGAGGCGATCGCCAGAGGCATGCGACGTCAGCGCCAGGCAGCGGCGCCCGGCTGTGCAAGGAGATGCTGGGCGGCGCAGGAGGAACAAGGAGGTTGAGGAGGGCGCAGACGAGACGCGGGATGTCATGCGTCGGCCTCGTAGCTCCATCCAGAACAGCCTCCGGAAGCTACGCGTGCAGCTCGGACATTGCCGAAATAATGTGCCAGTGTGTGCATCAGACATGCGCATGCCACGGAGGAGGCGATCAAGGCAGCGTACGAGTTTCACTGTCCAGAGTGTGCGGGGATGAAGTGTCCGAAGGTGGCGAGACACAGCGCCCCTGCAGAAACCCATCTCCCACTCAAGTATGTGAGCATGGACTGCAAGCACATGCCGGGATGGATCGCAGGGAAACGGATCGCGTGCCCTGGCACCATCGACGAGGCGAGCTCGCTGCACCAGGTGGAGCCGATGATTGGCATGGGGGAGACCTCGAAGAACCTGACAGACACGTTCAGCCAAGCGTGGGTCCGACCCTACATGAGACCGAAATGGCTGAAGGTGGACCCATATCAAGCGCAGGTGAGCGACGAGTTTGCCAACTGGTGCGAACGCCAAGGGATTGAGGTGGTGGGCGCGGAAGGAGGCGCGAAGGAGCAGAATGGCAAGATCGAACATCACAACCAACTGTCCGAAATCATGATGGAGGACGTCATCCGCGAGGTCCAGCCCCAGACCGAGATGGAGTGGCGTGAGTGCGTGATGGAACTGGTCTTGGCCAAGAACAGCCTCCTCTCGGTGACAGGACGTCCCCGATGCAGATAGTGTTCGGAAGCAACCCAGATGTGCCAGGGGACCTGCTGCAGGACGACCCAGACAAGATTGCCGTGAACGACCTGGCGACAGGCCAGCAGGCGCGAATCAGGACCATCGCCCGTGTGAAGGTGCTCATGCAGCAAGACAAGCTGACGACGAGGCGGGCATTGGACTCTCGCCCAAGAGTCGTGGTTCGGTACCAGCCGGGTGGCGCGATGGCGGCGTGGCGCATCATGCGGAACAACGGTATCCCAGGCAAGCGGGCTCATCGCCGTTCGCGGAGAGGTATCTGCATGGGCGAGGCGCGTGGCAACTACTGGGTGGCGCTGCCAGGGGCAGTGATCCAGGCGTCGCCAGAGCAGATGAGGCCAGCAGTAAGAGAGGGGCGCCGCGCCTGGCGCGGGGTGGAGGCGGAGCTGCGGACCAAGATGGTGGACCTGGAGCACTACAACGGCCAGAGGTTCGAGGACATCGCAGGCGGTGAACGACCGCCGGAGACGGAGGTGGGAGGAGGCCCCTCCCAGCCCCGAAGCTCCCGAGTCACCCCCCGACGAGAAGGAGTCGGGGATCCTCTGACCCGGGTCAATCCAAACCCGGGTCAGCGGGAAACCAAAAACTGCAATGCAGGGAAGAAAAACTGCAACGCAAGTCTTCGCAAACCCGGGTCAGCCAATACGCGCGGCCGCCCCGCGGCCACGAGCGGCTCCCTAACCCGGGTCAGCCAGAGGGGGTCGTCGCAGGATCCTGCAGGATCTGGCGCCGTGGCTGACCCCCGTCTGCATTGACCCCCGTCTCAGGGCTCCCGAAGGAGGTCGATGAGCAAGACGCCGGAGATGGAGAGGAGACGGAGCATCCGACGGGGCGGAGACGGCTGCGCGGGCAACAAACTTTGGACAAGCGGACCTTGGATGACGCGTGCGAGCCCGAGGAGGGCCAGATGGCAGAGGACGCCGGGATCTCATAAATATTAAGAGGCCGAGGCTGGAGGGGCAGACGAGGGTCGACAAGCCAGGCGGAGACCAGAGCGCGACGATCAGGCAGCAGATCGGCGGCACCGCGTGTCCTCCGAGCTTGCCGATCCCACGGCTCATCGACTCCGCGGGCGCCCGCCTTGCAGAGGACGCAGACGAGGACATCGTCATGGGGGAGGTGGGCGTTCCTCTTGCGCAAGGGAGCAAGGATATCAACCTCAAAGACGAGAGGTGCAAGTCGGTGAAGGGCAAGATGATGATCGAGAAGGCCTAAGAGAAGGAGATGGGAAACCTGGTGCACGAGACCAAGGCCTGGCGGCCGGTGGATCTGGAGACGTCGATGCTGCTGAAGACCCAGGTGCCAAGGCGCATTTTGCGCCCGAGGCCGGTGCTGGCGCTGCGAGCCGGTAGCGACGGCGAGGTAAAGTGCCGTTGTGCGCTGCAGGGCGTAACGACCCGGACATCCTGGATCTGGTGCGTGAAGGGCGCGCAGCGAGTCCTATCGTGTCTACCAGCGGGCGTGCGATGCAGCTGCAGACGTTGGCGTCGTGCAAATATGACGGTTGTGGGCGTGAAGTCAGCTTTCCTGGTGGCGGAGCCGGAGGAGCACCCGAATGGGCCGATCTATGCGTGACGATGCCGATAGGTTACACGCTGAAGGACCATCACCCAGAGCAGCTGTTTGAGGTGATCAACGGGTATGGGCTGGGAGATCTGCCCCAGGAGTGGTGGCGTGCGTTCGAGCGGTTCATGGTGGAGGAGCTGCACTTCGACTAGCGCCCGATGGGCCCGTGCGCGTTCTTGCTGAGGGAACCCGTCGAGAAAGAGATCGCCCACCTCGTGGCCGGAGACCGGGTGTCGGTCATCCCGTGCGCCGCGGGGCCTACGAGTTCCCAGCTCCGCGGCGAGCCGGGCGCGCTGTGCGGAATTCTCGGAGTGCATGTTGATGATCAGGTCAATGGTGGCCGCGGGCTGCTGCGGGCCAGTGCGATGGAAAGGCTGCGAGAGAGATTTATTTCTTTTTTTCGAAGTGGGTGACAGGCAGTGGGGAGTTCACGGGGTCGGTCCTCACTCAGCGAGCTGACTGCTCGATCGTCCAATCGCAGTCGGAGTGCGCGAAAGGAATCAGTCCAGCCAAGACTAGGAGATCAGCCCGACCCGATGATGCGGCCCAGCCGTTTGGAGGTGCACAACCATACCTCGACGACCCAGCAAGGGAACTGGCTCGCGGGCCAGGCCCGGCCTGATTTGAAGTGCCAGATCTCGTTCTCACAGCAGATCATACCCGAACCCCGCGGTCGGCCAGATCAGCAGATCGAATGCTTGGCTCGGAGGGCGAAGCAGTTTCAGGAGATCTCGATCACGTTCCTGAGTCTCCAACAGAGCGTCTTCGTTTCGCGTGCCATTCGGACTGCTCGTCGAAAGATCTGGGCGGGGCCGGCAGGGCGCAGGGCGGGTGCGTCATAGGTGCGACGGACCCCTCGCTGGCAACAGGTCCTTTAGCTACCTGGTGCCCGATGGCATGGAAGTCTCAGAAGACCAAGCAGGGATGTGCATCCACACTGGCGGGGGAAAGTAGGCTTCTGAAGGCCTCCTTGGGTCACCTCGAGTGGATCATGTGCGCTTTCGCGGCTACCCTGTACCCTATGTTTTGTCTGGAGAACCGGGACACATACTCGAAGAAATTCTCGGCCACTAGCGTGATATATTGCAAGTCCGTGTTTGACCGTGTGACCAAGCCGGGGGGCCCGACAGGACTCGACGACAAGAAGGCTTCCATAGATATCGCCATAGCCAAGGGGGGCCGCAGGAGACTCGGACGGACGCTCAGGTGGGGCCCGACGGAACTCATGGCAGGAGATGCCCTAACAAAGGATCGTGCAGCGGCGGCAGATGTACTGCGAGCGTGTCTGAGAGCGTCGGCGTACTGTCAATTTCGCTAAAAGCTCTAACAGAGAAGGCAGTCCGTGCCGCAAGCCGTGCGGGAGTTCCCAATCCACCTCCAGGCTTGGGCGATGGCAAAGTTCGAGGTGCGGGGGCGGGACGACCAAGCCAGCGCCTTCATGCTCGGGATGGCAGACGTGCACCCAGAGGAGTCCACGACGGAGATGGCCCAGGCCAGGGTCAAGGTGAGAGTGCCGGCAACGGAGTTGATGGCGGGAACGCCCGCCAAGAAGGGCAACGTGCGAGTGACACTGCAGTATGTCTCCATAGCGGGGAACGTGCAGGTGATGACGACAGCAGCGCTGGAGGATGAGGTGCGGGAGACGCTGGTGAAGCTCGAGAAGATGTACGTGGAGTGGCAGGATGCACCAGTCGACTCGAAGCCCAAGATGGAGTCGATGTGCCCAGCAGTGGAGCTCTTCCGCGCCAAGACCGAGATGCCAGTCAAGAAGCAGCTGCAAAAGGAGAAGGGAAGCAGGCGCGGCGTACCGATGGACGACGGCTGCGCGGAGGCGATGGACACTATCATGGAGAGTGTGGCCTGGTCGCTGGTGTCCTACTCGATCATGCGAGATCGAGTCCTGGAGGCGCTGAAGGAGTTCCTCCCTGAGGAGAACCAGGCGCCAGAGGTGGACGGCCCGTGGGACCCAGGTTCGGACTGGACGATGAGCGGAGAGACGAAGAGCCCAGTGCAGTGAGGAGCACAAGAAAGAGAGAGAAGACCAGTGCGAACGTGGGTACGTGAGCCATGTATGTGACCCTCGTGCTCCTGTGATGTGCTTGTGCCATAGCCACTGTTGATCAGACAGGCGCGCCGCCCTGGGGAAATGCGAGCGCCGTAGGTCGCTGTAGCGGGCAGAGAGGTAAAGATCATACTCCATTCGCGGTCGGATTCGCAGGTTCCTAGGGGATCCCGAAGATTCTTAAGATATTCCTGGGACCCCTGAGGATTCAAGCGGGATCCCAAAAGGTTCCCAGGAATCCCTTAGGATTTCTCAAGATCCCAATGGAATCCGAAGGACCGGTATGCATTCCGAGGAATGTGTGCACATTCATGGAGATTCCTGGGGATCCCTGAGGGTGTCCTAAGGATTACTAGGCTTCCTGGAGATTCCCATTGATTCCCGAGGATTCCGATGGATTTCTAAGGGATCCTTTGGTTCCTCTCGCTGCCTCTTTCTCTATCTCGCTCTCTCTCTCTCTCTCTCTCTCTTTCTGTCGTATCTTCTTTTTGCTTTTTTCTTCTCTCTCTCTATCTCTCTCGCTTTCCGTCGCTCTCTCTGTCTCTCTCTCTCTCTCTCTCTCTCTCTTTTTCGCTCTTTCCCTCGCATTACCACTTTTTTTACGCGCGAAGCCCGTCCGATCCGCTGCCCCTCACGGGGGCAGTCTTCCCGGACCCGCGCGGCGGACAACCTCCAAGCAGCGATCTCAGTGAGGCCAGCGTGCTATCACAATGCGAACGGCCCTCTCTCATTCTCATGCAATGTAAAACGAGATGGGTCAAACCTGCAACCTTACAATGAGGCTTTCTGGGCGACCTGCAACCTTGCAGTGAAGGGTTGTCGATTTTCTGGGGCCCGCGCACAGCGATACCAACTTATATGTTAATTAGGGCCGTTGGATTAGGAGAGCCTGAGGAGGAGGAGGAGGAGGAGGAAGAGGAGGAGGAGGAGGAGGAGGAGGATAGAGGAGGAGGAGAGGAGAGGAGAGGAGGAGGGGAGAAGGAGGAGGAGGAGGAGGAGGAGGAGGAGGAGGAGAGAGGGAGGAGAGGAGAGGAGGAGGAGGAGAGGAGGAGGAGAGAGGAGGAGAGGAGGAGGAGGAGGAGGAGGAGGGAGAGAGAGGAGGAGGAGAGGAGGAGAGAGGGAGGAGGGAGGAGGAGGAGGTGCAATAGCACGACCAGCGAGGGGCAGGCACGCGGCCTCTTGCTCGGGTCCCTCTGCAGGCAGCGGCCCAGGAAGTCCCGGCAGCGCTCTGACGCGTGGTCGGGCACCGGCGGGACGTCCTCCGCGCCCCCCCGCTGCCGCCGCGGAGGCCCAACCTCCTCCTCCTCCTCCTCCCTTCCTCCTCTTCCTCCTCCTCCCCTCCCTCCTCCTCCTCCTCCTCCACCCTCCTCCTCCTCTTCCTCCGTCTCCTCCTCCTCCTCCTCCTCCTCCTCCTCCTCCTCCACCCTCTTCCTCCTCTTCCTCCGTCTTCTCCTCCTGCCGTTTTTCTGTTTGTTTGTTGGTTTTGTTGTTCCGCCCTCCTGCCGCTCCTGCTGCTGCCGCGCCTTCCTCCAGCTTGAGGCTGCTGACACTGCTGGTGCTGCTCCTCGCGGATCCACATCCCCTCCACTCCGCTCGCGCGGAGGCCCAGGTTGGGGCCACGAAGCGGTGCGGCGACGGACCGTGCGGCGACCTCGAAGTCCCCCAGAAGACCTCACCGCACGCTCTGTCTTCGCGCACGGTTCTGGGACCCCTGAGGCCCAGGTCGCCGGAGACGTCCTCGGAAACTGGCCAGAGTTCCAAACTCGTGCGGTGACCCCGAACCCCCACTGACTGTCGGCTGGGCCCTCGCGGGGTTGGCGGCCCCGCGCTCGCTCGGAGCAGCCCAGCTCGCCTTCTGCAAGCGAGGGGCCGACGGGCTGAGCTTGCAGACGGCGCCCTCCGTCCGCCCCGAGATGGCCAAAGACTGTGCCAATCGCAGCGCCCCTGCCCCCGTCCCCCCCCCACCTCCCAGAAGGCCCTGTCGGGAGCGGCCAAGAGGGGGGGGTGTCTGAGAGGGGGGGTGCAGACCATGACGGGAGGCACGTGCGCGGCCCCGCGGGGGGGCCAGGGACGTAAGGAACTCAGAAGCGGTGCCCTGAGATCTGGGAACATACCATGGCCACCCCCCCCGACCCCGTCGACCCCGACCCCTGCTCCTCCTCCTCCTCCTCCTCCTCCTCCTCCTCCTCCTGCCCCTTCCTCCTCCTCCTCCTCCTCCTCCTCCTCCCCTCCTCCTCCCTCCTCCTCCTCCTCCTCCTCCTCCCTCCTCCTCCTCCTCCTCCTCAACTCCTCCTCCCCCCCTGGTCGTCACCCCCCTCTCTGCCGCCCCCGACCCCGTCGACGCCGACCCGCTGCACCGCCTCCCGGGGCGACGGCGCCTCGGCCTCTGCCCGTGCCCGCGGCCCGCGCCCTGCCCGCGGAGCTCCCGACTGGCGGGGCGCCCCGCCCGCCCCCCGCGCTGCGGCGCGGGCGGCAGAAGGGGCAGCGCGGCGAGCGCACCGCGTGGCTTTTTTGTTGGGTGGGGTGGGGCGGCGAAGAGTGTGGGATGGCGCGGAGGGCAGGGTCGAGAATCCGCTCACGCAGCTGGTTCTCCTGGCGCCTCCAGGGGTCGGGGGGCGCCCATGCGCCGAGGGATGGGCCCAGCGGCGGGGCCGAAACCGGGTGCACGTCGCAGATTTCGTAACCGCCTCTTTCCCCATCCTGGAGACGGGCGCCGCCTCCAAAAGGTAATCCATGACGTGCGCACCCTGCCGTTGCCGTGTATTGCTGTGTATCGCCGCTGTGCCATCACTAAGTCTTGGGACCGCACCAGGCAAGCAACTGTTCCTTGGCTGGTTGCCGCAACAAGAAATATCCTACCATTATGTTGCTCCCATCGTACATCCCAGAAATAATTTCGAGCACCCGGAAGAGTGTCGAAACAGTGTCGAAAGAGTGTCGAAACAGTGTCGGGCGAGTGTCTCTCTGGGCCCGACACGTGAAAACCCTCGAGTTTGGGTATTCTTTCTGGTGCTCGAAATTCTTTCTGGTGATCAAGGCTAAAGTCGGTTGGAACATCATAATCCTACCACCTCGTCTGGCCCGAACCTCCCTCGACCAGATCTGGGCCAGAAGTGCGGCGAGGCCGCGCCGAGGATGGACCCCCGGGGCTCCTCGGCCACGGCGGGCCCGGACCCGAGCCCGAGGCTCGGCCTGGCCGCCGATGGGGCAGCGGGATGTCCAGGATGTCCGCCGTCACGTAGTGCTAGTAGGGGCTCGACCACAAGAAGCCTTCCACAAGAAACCCAACCCGGAGACCCCAGGACGTCCATTGAATTTTGACGTGCGAGCGTCACGCTTTCCATCGCAAAACCGGCGAAACCCAAGAAACCCAGGGAACCCTGGAGGCAAGCAGGGTGTTTCTTGGCATGGGGCTCCACTGCAAACCATGCTAGCTCAGGCCTTGGGAACCAGGTCGCGAGACAACCGATCCAGGTGCTCGCGCCTGGCCTTGGTGATGAGCTGTGGGCGGCACGGGTTCGTGGACCCTCTGAGCTGGCCCTGGCCGGAGAATCCGTAGGAGCCGCAACACCACAGCGGGCCATCGCTCCTGGTCGGCATGGGGGATCCATCTCCCAGAGGCCCCGGCGACGCCCAGGCCTCCCACCACTTAGCTTCCAAGCATGGTCGAGCTGGACGGTTCGGGCTGGCGCTAGCTCTGGCAGGGCCTCGGCAATGCACTGCACATCAGGACGCTTGCTGGCTTCACTCTGTCTTGCGCCCCTCTCCCTTTGACTTTGAGCTCGTCCCCGGCCGCAGCGTCGGAACAAGGCCCGGTCGGCCTCGGCAGGAGGATCCCATGTGCCGACCGCCATCCTTGCTGCTGGGGTCGGGGGTGCTGCCGCCGTGCCGGTCGCGCGGGCTGATCGGCGCCTGCAGCCGCGCCGCTTGCACCCGCCCCGAAGCAGGATCGGCCGCACCACCGCACCTGCCCTCACTGGGGAAGCCAAGAGGTGCCGAGACCTCTCCTCCCAGGACCTCTCCCGAGGTGCGTGCTGACCAGGGTTTCGAGGCGAATCCAGCAGTGGCGACGAGGGCCTGCCAGGAGGCCGAGGACGGGGAGAACGGTCGAAGGGTAGGGGTACAGGCACCTTCTCCTGCGTTGACTCGCCCTGAGGACCGCGTGACAGCCGCAGCTGATGTCAGAAGAGGAGCGTGCCTTCGACATTGCCGCCTTTGGGGGGGCCACCTCCGCCGCCTCGGGCTGGGACTCCTCCGGCCCTGCGGAACTCAGCAGCGCAGGGGGCGAGGCGGCCCGAGATCGCCGCATCACCCCTCTGGGCGCAGGCGGCCCAGAGAGGTGGTGCTTCGTACCCCCAGGGCCGCATAAGAATGGATCAGCGATCCATGGATCTGGCGCGCGGTCGCCAAATCCATGGATCGGGGGAGGCGCCCTCTCCAAAATGCGGCCAGTGCCACCTCGTTCGGCGGCGGAAATCCGAGATTTCCCACGGAAACGGGACCTGTGGATCCACGCCCCCTTGATCCATGTTTGCGATCGCCTGGAACCCCCGTCCTTCCCTTCGGGGAGAGGCTCACCACTCCCCCGCCCCTCCTGGGTCTGGGGGGGACCGCGAGTTTGCCAGGGTGGCCGCCAAAACACCTTGGATTTTTTCAACGCGGGATCCCTGGACGTCCCGATCCTTTCCCCAGGGCTGGTTTTTCCTCCCGCGTCGTGTTTTCACGGTCCCAGGGCCTGGCGAGGGCCCTCAGATGCCGAAAACGACGAAATGCGTTGGATGTTTGGGCCTGGGCATCACTCAAAATCACGATGGTCCCAGGCAGTGCATGTGCTCAGGGACACCTTCTGCCCAACGCCGTATCGGTCTGATATTGCGTGCAGGCTCGGGACGTCTTGCCGAGACCTGTCAGTGGGCCTCCGGGGCCCAAAACTGAGAGGCGGTCTGCATTCGCAT